ACAAAACCATTATACCCTGATTTCCCATTTTCAATGGGTTCAGGGTATAAAAAAAGAATAAAAAGAAAGTGAAAAGAAGAAGAAGAAGAAGAAGAAGAAGTCAGCCAAGTCTGGAGGCAGTTGGCTGGCGGTAGGCGTAACAAGTTAATTAAAAGAAAACTGTGTGGCACAAATGAAATAAATCTTAGCTTTCAAGTGCCACGACCTACGTGCGTGTGTGTGTGGGTGTGTATGGGTGTGTGTGTGTATGGGTGTGTGTGTGGGTCATGTGTTGCAGACAATGAGTTTGAATTGTAATTAATTCTTGCCAAGGCTGCAGCCTGAAGCCGGGGCGCAGTTTGTTACTAACTCGAGTCTCTGATTTATAAATTTAAATTGAAGTAAAGAGTATGTGAAAAAAGTCTGAATGAATGCTATGAAGTATTTCAGATTTATAGGGAATATAATGTATCTATGAGTATTTAAAAATAATTGAATGCAGATGGATATTCCTTATCGAATGATCACTACTCGATAGATATCTATAAAATTTGATGTATTTTTTGCTTGTTTTCGATGTATTGTTATGGGCATATCACCGGAAAGCTAGCTCATTTCTGCTGCTAGCGTGAATTCATCTTCTATTAACTGAAATGATGAGCTAAGATAATACTTTAACTGAATGCGGTTTCATTTGCATTGAAAATCAAATTAAAAGCAAACATATATGAACTTTTAAATCGGGCGCTACCAGCTGATTACTACTCAATCTTCTCCTCGTTAGTAAAATCTTCACTGCCCCATTTGGGAAGCCTTAGCTCCCATCTCCCAGCTCTCATCTTGCTTTTCCGATTTGCCACACATATAAAATTATATTTTAATATTTTAACTATTTATTTGTTTATATCTACGAAACTGAAGAAGATGTCCCGATTTGGCATACTCTCAGTGTTATATTACATATATATACAACCAATCGATAAGATTGCAACGTTTCAAGAGATCAACTTAAAAAATCTCGTAGCTCTAGGGTGTTTGCCATATTGAGGCGTGGCATAAGTAAGCCATACCTATTTTTTGTGGCTCATCAATATTGGAATAGTCGCTGCAACTCGATTAATGAGCTTTTAAGCTTGTTGAAATAGATTATAGTAGCTTACCACGCCCCCTATGGGCGTAGATTTATTCGCCATCTGTATTTTATTTTCGACTCACCATTCGAGTCTCTCTATTCATAAGTATATAAAAGTGGGCGAGTGAGCAGAGAGTCAAAGAGATTACAAATCCAATATACTCTGTTTAGGTTCGTGAATGAGTATAAATAGTATAGATACGAAAGAAAAGCAACCTATTGCGACTCCTCCTAGTCATGGGATATGCGCGTTCGTCTGCCAGCTGTTAATATGAATGCAGTAAACAAATCACATTCGATTTTTACGATGTGACAATCGACCGATGTTTTGTGTGTGTGTGTGTGGGGGGATGGGGGGAAGCATGAGTTGGGGGTGGGGCACGAGAGCTACATAGATGTGGCACGCGTGCCTAGCGCCCATTTATTGAGCTGTGCGTCGTAAATGTGTTAACTTCAGTGTTGTTTTACTTTGACCTCGTTGCAGGCAAGAGCTTCACACTAACCATCACCGTGTCAACGAATCCACCCCACATAGCCACCTACAACAAGGCGATCAAAGTGACTGTCGACGGGCCACGCGAGCCGCGCTCCAAAACCAGTAAGTATTACTGCCACTCAATAGCCAAACTAGCTCTGTCCACTAGCGTCTGTTCAAGTCTGGCCAAGAACACACTCAAACACACACACAGCACACACACACACACATACATAGATTACAATAATAAAACACTAGAGACAAACGAAAGCGAATTTGCATATGCTTAGGCTGCTTTCCTAATTGTTTATTTCATTTTACCTCATACTCTGTATGAGAGTTAATTTAACTGAGAAATGGGGCATATTAGTTTCATATATTTGTTGGATGAATTGAAATTTGAATGAATTGTAGAGTCAAAGAAGGATATTTCTCTCTCTCTCTCTCTCTCATAGACTGTAAAATCTAGATCTAGATCTTTCACTGCTACGAAGTCATTATCATATTATGAGCAAATCCTATTCTACTGAATCTCCAATCTCGCCAGATCTGTCCAACTTTCTACCAACTATCGCTGTGTGTAACTCAAAGGAAGTTTCCTCATCAATCTCAATATGCCTCATAGACAGCTCATTGCATGTCTTATCGCCTACGTAGTCTACTTCTCTATATAGTAAAAACTTATTTGAGAAACCATAGTCAACAAGTATTCTAGAGCTCATTGGCCATTATCAAGCAGCAGCTGGAAGAGTACTCATCTACTACTGACAGCCTCTTAGGATACCCTTTAAAAAACGAGTATCTTTCAGTCCATGCGAACCTCTCAGTTGCTCAAGTCTGCAGTCCTGGCAGCGTGTTCGATAAACGCAGGCGACGACGCCAAGTTTAGCAACTGCCAAATGCATATTTATAAGCATGGAAATATTTTACTTTGCATATGTTAAGACAGACAGAGAGAGCTCAGACATGGCTATCGCTCGAACAGCAGTTGCAGGAGTTATAGTTGTTGTTGTTTGTTGTTGTTGTTGTCATTGTTGGCAGTGTAATCTGTTGAGTCCGAGAGCAACAATTCAATCCATGGCATGATTTATATCTGTAGCAGCCAGACTGCAACACGATGGCCTCTGGTGTCCGAAAAACAAGAGGCATAAACACACACAGACACACATTCGCACACCCACACACACACATACAATGACAGCTGGGCTTAGGCTGCTGCAAACGTCAGACAAAAGGTTATTATTTTATAATGAATACAATCTGCCGTAAAGTTGAAAACTGTATAATGGGCGACAGTTTTTAGCTGTAAACAAGAGCGTAGCTAAAGGCTGCAGCAGAAAGAGATGGAGATGGATAGAGTGAGAGAGAGAGAGAGAGAGTGCTATGCGTGTCTGCCAGCTGATAACATGCCCAATGGTATGAACGGACGTGTACATTTTTGTTTCCACCTATAGTGAAATCGAAATAATTAACAATGATTAAATATTTGTGTTCAAAGTTGGGGCTGACCACAATGGTGTGATACTACTTACGCTGAATATTGTGGAGTAACTGTTCAAGTGACCATTAGTAAATGGACTTTACCATTTGATTAAGACGGAGATATATCATAGAAGATCATTAAACAAAAAACAATGTATTTAAATATATATCGATTGAGCTTAGGCTAAGGTTAAGATGGGAGTATGCCAGTAGAGAGCATAGAGTTTGTAAAGGTAGTACTCAGGTATATAAAGGTTCCGTGTGTTGCGTAGCAAGTCTTCTACTGCTGAATCAATAAATAAAAGCGATCACAATTGCTTGCTTTCCTGCTCTCTCATCCACAGCGGCTTCATTGCTCAGCTGCAGAATGAAGTGAGCGAGCGAGAGAGAGAGAGAGAGAGAGAGAGAGAGAGCGAATGATAGCAGAGCTGTTATTAACACTTCATTAATCGTTTGATGCTCCACTCTCTGTTCGCGAAATGAATGGAAAAAAATCATACTCACTCGCTCTCTCCCTCTCTCTGCTGCTGTGAGCATCAAACTTTGGTTCGTTTCATTTTCATATTCGTGTTCCGTTGAGCGCTCCGAATTGAGCTATTCGTGTGAACATCGTACAAAGAGAGAGAGAGAGAGAGAGAGAGAGAGAGAGAGAGAGAGAGAGAGAGAGAGAGAGTGTGTGTGAGAGAGAAAGAGAGAGAGACAGAGAGAGGGAGAGAGAAAGAGAGATAGACGATTGACATTCAACTCGATGAGACCCAGCAAGTGAATGCAAACGCTCTTCACATTCACATGCACACACTCAATTCGCTTAAGCTATCCATGTGTTGAGCATACGCATGCATACCAATACATACACACAGAGACGAGCTTTTTGCTTCGCTTAACTCAGCCAAAGCAGAATGACATAAAACGACTGTGAGCCGATCGCGAATGAACTAGCTAAAGAATCGAGGCAAGCAATGTAATCGCAAGTGATCTATGAATCTCTTTTGTGTGAGTAAAAGTCAATTGGCAGTCATTTGAAAACGAGAATAATTCAACAGTTGCGAGCTATGCCGTTTAGAAGTTATATACTCCACTTAATTCGTGCTCAAATATTTTAACAGTTGCAAAATTTAAAGGCTTCATCAGCCCATGGCAGGTGTTTAGGATCGAGGATCATGACAACTTGCTTTCAATGAACCAAAGTCAAATCTCAAGTCCATAAGATTGAGGCTAAGATATCACAAATTCATTTATTATTTGATTACTCTCAGTATATACATTCCATAGTCTAGTCGGATATATGCGAGGTAGGGTTAAGTCCAATAACTAGGATCGACTGCAACGGTTGAGTGAATGAAGGCTCTACAGTCTAGTCTAGTTATACATACATACATATATGCATATGCCTCTTGTTTCCTTTACACTGTTCAACACTCGACACAAACTCGAATACAAAATACATGCAAAAAGTAAACATTTAGTTAAGGACAGATAATTAAAACTGAAAAAAACTTAGTGTTATCCCTTTTAGGGCAACAACAACAATTCCACTTTGCATTTGGCCAGCGACCGTTCCACTTCTCCACGGATCCACTGTCCGGCTTCCGCATGCCGCCCATTGGCAATTGTCAGAGTGAGTAGCATTTCATCTTGATCACAAACAAACAAACATACATATATATATATATATTTACCTATCATAACATGCTATATATACTATATATATTAATATATTTGATGGATTTCCGCCAGAGCTGATGCCAAGTGCATTTGCATTTCAATTATTGCTTTTTGGCTTCATTTTTCGTTTCGCACTTGAGCAGCTGCAAACGCATGCAACGAATGTACGCCCCGCAAAAGGGACGAGGTGGGGCTGGTGGGGATGGTGGTCCATGCGGGCTGTGTGGTGTGCCCCAATGCGACCACATAAAATCACACGAAACGATTAGGGGACAGGCTTTAAAAAAAGACAGCGCAAACAATAACAAAAATACAATGTCAGTTTTTAAGCCTGCGGCCAACCGAAAGCGATGAACAGAAAGAGACAAAAACACAAATGCGAGTAAAAAAAAAAAAACAAGCGAAACAATACTTAAATATATGCAATTTAATGCAATGCAGTGCGAAAGCAAACTATGCGCGTGCGATTAAACAATAAATAATAAAATAAATCTTGACATCAATTTTTACAGCCGCTTTAAGCGACTGCATTAATTAGGCGCTCAATTATAAATATTTATATATATATATATATTTTTTTTTTAAATTGAGCTTTGCGGGTGCCCAAAAGTAGGCAACACAATGCACAAGTGCACAAGAACAACGACTAGCGAATACTCTACAATTGACAAAACTTAGTGAGGAGAAACGGGTGAAATTTACAACATAGTATATATTAATATAAAGTATAAAGTATTTAATGAAAAATAAATTGAATAAGTCATTTATTTAATGAATAGCAAAAAAAAAAAATAAAATATATATATATAATATAATATATTTATGTATTTCAATTTAATTATTTCTGTATATATGATATAAAGATAAAAAAATAATAAAATAATAATAATAAATAATAAATAATAATAATAATAAATAATAATAAAAAATAATAAATGGATTTTTTAGTATTTTAAACACAAATGAAAATAATGAAATATAAACAAAAATACCAATTTTTTTTTATTAAAAAATAACATGTTTGTAATACATAAATATATAAATATAAACAAATACAATTTTTGTTTTTTTTTTTTTTTTAAATTACAAAATAATATATGCTACTATTAATATTTTACTATTTATTTTATTTTATTTATTTATTTATTTAATTTTGTTTTGTATAAATTTCCTTTAATACAGGGCATTAGTAAATGGTTTTAGTAGCTGTTGTTGTTGCTATTGTTGTTGCTGTTGTTGCTGTTTCTGCTGTTGTTATTGATATGCCTGGCTATTAAACTGTTGGCCACTTTATTTAACCAAAGCTTAATAAACAAATAAACGTTGGTCAAACACAACAACAACAACAATAGCAGCAGCAGCTACAACAACAACAACAACATCGACAATGACATTGGACAAACGTCATAAAAAAACGCAGGCGTCAAACAATTTGCGTTGATTTTTTATCTGCTTTGATGTGTGTGTGTGTGTATTAGTGTGTGTGTGAGTGTGTGTAGGTTTGCCTGTGTTTGTCGCCATTTTGTAAGGGCATAAAGAACAGCCAGACGATTTTTTTTACCATGATAGATATTAATGATTGCGTGAGTGATGAACTGAATCGGGCTGATTTAGATGAGGGACATATATATACACATATATATATAATTCATAATGTGACTCATGAGATTCCATGAAAGCAGTTTATGAAAATATATATCAATCAATATATGTTTATGCTACATAGAACATTTTCATATTAAAATAAATTTTTGTCAAATAGGGAGAATGATGGCAATGTTTCTCTTATTATTCCTGAACTGATCTGGCTTGAATCCTTTTGCCTTCTGCAAGCTCAAGCATGCACACTTGACATATTTAATAATATCAACCCATATGTCAGACTGACTTACGATATTATATCGCATGGCTTTAGAATATATCACTTCCTCGTCTCAATATAATTTTGATTTCCAAATTGAGTTATATAATTGAACCTGAACTGCCTATATCCTTGGGTCCTTGGATCGCAAACACTGATTAAATTAGCAGCTTGATCTATCGATTTGCTGTCTAAGCTCAAACAGTTAAAGTTTGTTAAATTTTTTGGTCGCCCTGGCTGCATTGGTGAGAATTATAAATCAATAATTAAAATTGTGGGTTAATTTTTTGTATTTTGGTTTTCTGTGTTGTAGGTGATTTAAATTTAATAATACATTTAAAAATTCATATTAAATTTGATGTTTCCATTTAAATGGCGCATTAATTGATTTAAGCAACAACAAAAAGGTGAATGAATGAATAAAAAAGCGACGCAAAGCCAGCGATTAATGGTTAGTCAAATGTGACAGCGACTTTAATTGATTTCAATTTCCTTTTGCCTTTCATTTGAGGTGCAAGCAGAGGTAAGACTTTAAGGCAAATGCAATTCAATCAGCAATGCAAAATATATATATTCAACTGTTAATTGCCCCGCCCACTGTCTCGAACAGGCTAGCCCCGCCTCCGATTGTCTAGCGCACAAATCAAAATGCAAATTACGCGATTTACAGCCTGACATTTGGCCCAGCGACATTGCCATCTATATCTATCTCTCTCTCTCTCTCTCACTCTGTATATACATCAATTTAATACACATTTATATATATAGCCACACTGCCTGTGTGTGTGTGTGTAAATAATGATTACTGAAAGCGTCTGTTGTTGCTGATTACCCATAATTTAATTGTAAATATGCAAAAAGCAAAATAACCTGAATTATTTATTAACAAATTTTATTGACAGTCGCTGCTTGACTTAATTACTGGTATATATTTTATTAATTTCGCAATAAGGAAATGCACTGAAATAAAATACAAGTTATATATACACAAAATTATCAAGCAATATTCATGCATCGAATTGCCAGTGCCAGCGGGTAATGCGTCTATTGTCGCAGAGATTCATACATATATGTACATACATATATATGTATGTATGTATATGTATATCATAAATGACAGTTATGTCCAAATATAATTGACAGCATGAGCGATTGAGCTAGCTATGCAGGGTAAGGCCGAAGAAACGCTTGGCTTGTGAGTCCATACAGGGCTGTCCATATACGAGAAACCTATCTGGCAACCCTAGAAGGCCTCGAGAAAGTCACGTATTATTTTTGTAAATTATTTTATGTTGGCTTAAGTAGATTTGTGGTCATAAATTTATGAATATGATATCCTTCAAATTGAGTCTTGAGTCTGTACGGCGTATTGTGCACGTCTCCGTCAAGAGATAGAGGGCTGCCAGATGGGTTCGGCGTATAGAGAGAACCACTAACCAGGTTAGTGAGAGAACCCTGTATATAAGCTAGGCACTCGCAGCGTAACCTATTTAAATTGATTTTGAATTATTTCAAAGTATTAAATATTATAAAGGTAATAAAAAATACTGAATGAATATAAAAATAATTTTAAGACTTGATATATAAAATATAAAATTCTAAAAATATGCACAGATGAATACAAAACAAACTCTATATGATTTTTAACTTAACTTTAAGATTGCTTTTCATATAAATATTTTTAAAATATTTCTTTTCTTTTTATCACTATTAATATTATTATTTTTTATGTTCTTATGTTGATTCATAGTGAACTTTTCTTTGGGCGCAATGCGTGTGCAATTTTCCTCAATTGGATTTGGTTTTGTTTGTTTGCCTGTGTGTGCCTGTGTGTGCGTGTGTGTGTGTGTGTGTGTGTGTGTATAAATCGTGCTTGTTAATAATTCAGTTACAAAATATGCGCAGAGAAAGTCAATCTGTGGCACAACAAACATCAGACAGCAGACCGAAATGCCAGCAAAAAAAAAAAAAGAAAAAATAACAAAAAGAGTATAAATAAAATGAAAACAACAACAACAACAGCAACAACAACAGAGAGCAGCAGCTACAGCAGCTACGAGCTGTACACAAAAAGCAACGTAATTAATGGAGGTAGAAGCATTTAAGCCAATAGCATTAATAAAGCCACCACAAAATCAATATCCGGATACGAAAATGCGCCCGTCGCCTATAAAAACTAATTAATAATTTCCGAATGGGCTATTAATTAAGCCTAATTATCTGTGCATGAGTCTGGACCCGCAACGTGGTCTGTACTTTATCCGAAACCAAATTTCCGTTCCCAGCCATGCCACCTCCCCCGCCCATCCCACACTCCCCTCCGCAGGCTCGACAAAGTCACCGCCTAACATTGGCATTTTTGGGGCCACACACGCCCCTCCTCCCCCCGCTGTCCCACCCACTTCAGCCCTTTGCATGTTTGTGGCGTTTACATTGAAACGTTATCGCACTGGCATCTGTCCGTCGCATCAGATTCGTTTGTAATTTTTATGCACAGCTCCGGCCAGAGTCCCGCATAATGGCCATGATGGAGCTGCAATTAGCGGCCCACATGCGCCATAAATTTGAGCGCCATGCAGGGCAGCTGATAGGTGATAGGAAATAGGATGAATGGCTGCCCGATGCCAGATGGGAGATGGGAGACTCATAGGTGTACACCGTATGCACTTATCGCCGATGATTATGCGCCATGCTCGATAGCTCATCCAGCCTGGCGTGCTGTGTTGCATTGCGTTGCGGTTCGCTTGGGTTCTTTGCGCTGCTTCTTTCTTCTGTTTTTCGTCTACCTCATCTGCTGCGTATTCTAGTTTTGATCACGCTCTTCTCTTTGTTTGTTTTTTTCCTCATCTCGCTCGCACACATACCACAATCTAACATATATGAAAACCAAACAAAAACAAAAACAAAAACATAAACGATATCAACAAGAAAGATATGTCCCAATTTGGTTTAGGTGCCAGCAATACGCATTGGGGCTATGGATCGGCGGCGTCTGCCTACTCGCCGTACTTGGCCAGCAGTGGACTCTCCTCCTGCACCACGCCCACATCCGCACAGTTCAACAATCCGGCACTGGGCTTCACCTGCTCGTCCAACGATCAGACCAACAACCAGGACTTTAGTGGCGCCACCAATCGCGACTGCGTGCCAAGTGAGTTGAGATTGATTTCTATTTTTTTATATATTTTTTTTTTATTTATTTTTTTTTTTTTAATGTGGATAGAGTTAAATTAGATATACAAGAGGCTTACCAGTCTCACTTGCATCTCTGTTAAGAATATTTATAAACGCTCTAGAAGCAATATAAAAAAAAAAAAAAACAATCGATATTTATTGATCAGGCATGATCGATCATGGAAATAATTTGTTAGTTTGTCTAAGGATTCAAGCATTAAAATTGACTCTCAGATGTGCTTGTAGCTGTCTTGTTTTTCTGGAAAAGTAAAAGAGAGCATTCTCTTGTATTTAGTGCTCCCTAACAGCTTATTGGGGGAGCTCCCAAAAGCTTAGAGTATTTAAACTGAAGTATTTAAACTGATTCTGAATCGAATATAATTGGAACTTTTTCTACAAGTGCAAACTCTTATTTTTCATTGATTAATCATGATAGGCTTAAAGGGATGTCCATATTAGACAGAATCATCTGGCAGCTCTACCAGACTGCCCATATTCAAATTTTGTTTATTTTATTTAAAAAACATATCATTTTTTTCGGATACTGAAAATGTATTTCATTTATTAGCTTCAAGTAGATTTGTTGACGTCACTTTTATTGCCGTCCTATATATTTTTTCATTTATTTACTTATTTATTAGAAGTTAGTGTTCAAATGGCTAATGGGGCTTTAGGCTTGATATTTTCAAATATAATCCATAATTTTTCAGGCACATTTGTGCCACGTCAGCAATCAATGTTTTATGATCAGCATTAACTTTTTCAAATATATATCTAAAGCAGTTTAGTTTTATATTTTATAGCACACATGATATATAAAACTTCTGCTATAATTGTTTATTTTTTTCTATAATAGAAATAGTTAGACTCTATCTATTATACAGCTCCCTCATCTATGTATATTAATTCAAGTTCGTCTCTCCCACGCATTAGATGTTTATTGTTGATGGAGTTTTCCAGTTTATTATAAACACAGGCTCAATCTAGGCTGTGATGTATTCAAATAAATAAGTTTAGGAGCATATAAACATATTCTCTCAAACCTGCTTACATACACATATTGGTGGTATACTGGTTGTCCCTAGGAATCCAAGTTTGCCGATAGAGTTCTTCGATTGTGTAAAGAGTTAGATATATGTTTATAGGTGTGTTTTAATAATTTGAAGCAGTTTCAAACGATTCTCTAGAGCATAATACGAGTTATCCCAGCTAATAGTCATATATGACTCAGATTTCTATGAAAAATAAACAAAAAGAGGTATCAAATCTCCGAGTAGGGCCATCTCTACATCTCTGCCTCTACATCTCTGCCTCTGTTGGGAAGTTAACACCGCCTCCTCCACCCACTGGGCTTAGTCTCCATATTCAAATACGAGTCTAGCCTTGCACTAATACCTTCTCCTGCTTGTATCCACCTCGTTTCTTTGACGCAGTGCTGCCCGACTCGACGGCCAGTGACTTGGACCAGCACCTCAGCAGCCTGGTCGGCTCGACCAGCGGCCAGATGTCGCACCACAGCCTGCTGGGGGCCAGCGGACAGACGTCCATAACGTCGACGGTGAACGGGGCGAGCGCCGGCAGCGGCGCCACCGCTGGCAGCGCAACGGGCGCCGGCGGCGGCGGCGGCGGGGCCAATTCGATCCTGGTGCCGCGATACCACACCAACGCGAGCAACGAGTACAATGTGCATTCCAGCCAGAACGGGCCGCGCAGCCTGAGCGACAGCTCGCAGGCCGAGTCGCCGGTGCAGGAGGACTTGCTGTCCACCAACACACCCAACCTGGGCAGCGGCACGGGCGCCGGAGCGAGCAACGGCGGTGCCGCCAACGGCGCGGCGAGTGCAGCTGGCGCTGGCAGCGGTGGGGCGGCCGGAGCATCGGCCGGCGCCGTCAATCCGGCCATGCTGGGCGCCAACCAGAACTTTCCGGGCATTGTGAACCAGGCCCAGCATGCCTCCGCCTCGGCCTATGGCGGCGGCGTCGGCGTCGGCGTCGGTGTCGGTGTGGGCGTGGGCGGCGGGCATGGCAGTGGCGCTGGGGCCACGGCCGCCGGCTGCAACGGCTCGCTGTATCCGGTGCTGCCGGCCAGCCTGCTCTACTCGCAGCTGTACACGGCCGCCAATCAGTCGGCGCACGGCTTCCACTCGCACACGCTGCCGGCGCACGCGTCGCCCAACTCGTCCGTGCACGGCGAGCTGCAGAGCGTCATGGATCACATCAGCAACGTGGGCGTGCGGCAGCAGCACAACATCATGGCCGGCGGGGGCGTGGCGCACCCGGGCGACCTCACGCTGATCGGCAACTGCGGCGCCTCGGTGCGCAACATCGAGGATGGGAACACCAACCGGCAGGTGGCCGCGCTCGCTGCCCATCGCGGCCACCACAACCCAACCGACAACGGGGGCAGCGTCTGGAGGCCATATTGAGGTCAGGTTCTGTGGTGCGGCTCCGCAGTTCTTTAGTGCCACGAGCACGACGAGGGGCGAGCGGCGGAGAAGCAGCACGAGCCACTGCAAGGCAACGACAATGGGAGCGGGCATCGGGACTTGGGCGGGCCGATGGACGGGAGTGGGAGTGGTAGTGGTAGTGGGTGCGGGAACGGGGGAGGGGCTGGGTGCGTGGGTTACTGAGTGTAAATTTCTGTATATACATTTTATAGGTCATACGAAAGATAATCGTGCATTTTTTTTTTTTTTTTATGCAAATGATAAGCAAAAAGATTTTAGTAGAATTTGTTGGAGTTCGCCAAACTCAAAGCTAAAAAAAATAAATAATAAAAATAAAATAATAATATGAAAAGAATTAACTATAAATGGAAAACTACTTTACGTGTGTATAGCCGTAGCAGCATAGCGAAAATTACTCAACTAGCAAATGGATGGTGCGCGGAGCCAAGGTGGGGCGTTTTCGGAAACGCCTTCGCCTCGAGTTCGAGAGCGTTTGCCATGGAATTTTAGATACTTTTAAGAAGTTGCGTATAGTAAGTAGTCCCTCGATAGATGCCCCGAAGATGAGAAAGAGGAAGAAGAAGAGTGAGAGAGAATAACCCGCATCACTAGGAATTCTAGATTCGAAGAGCATCGCATACGATGACATATACATATATATATATAGATGTATAATTTTTTTTTGTAGTTGTTCTCGATGTTTATGATATAGGATCCTCATCTCATTTAGATATTTTACTCTGCGTTAGCATTTCGTTCTCTTGTTTTTATCTTTTTTAAAATTGTAAATTACTGTATAGCAGCGATTTGGAGTGGGAGAAGGAGAAGATGAGCGAGAAATGATAGTCGAGAGATAATGCGAAGAGCCGTTGTATATGAGTTCCTAAGCCGTAATCCATGTTCGTGAATTTGTTTACTGTTTTCATGTGCTTCGATATGCGTGTGTATGTACTTTGAATGTGTATAAATCTGTGCAATGTAAGCTAAATACTATTTAATCTACGTATACGTAATAAACCCATATGTATGTATGTATGTATACATAAATGGATAACTATGCAAAACACCTAGGAATAACTGTAACAACAGAAAACAACAACATTTTTTTTTGTCTAGTCCGTAAAGCTTTACCACTTAAGTGAATTCGGCTACGAGTTTCAGCATCACTGAGTCGAGTCGATGGTCTTAGCAGGAGCAGCTGCAGCTCGTTGTCGAACTGTGACTTGGAAACAGTCTCGATCCGATCTAATAGCATTATATAGAACTCTCACACACACATACAGTATCGTAACTTCAAGATCTTGCAATGTTGTCAAAAGAAGCAAAATAAGAATTCAAATGCAAGTAAATACAATTATAAACTAAATAAAAAAAATCGTCGTCGCATAAGCGCCACCACGACGTGGCATTAGTCTTAGAGATCCACTCATTTGCAAATGTCCAGTAGCACATATTTTTTTTTTTAATCAAAGTTGATATTTAAAAACTATAATATTTAATTAATAAAAAAAAACCAAACAAAAGCTGATCGTAAAATATAATTGATGTATACCAAAAAAAAAAATAAAAAATAAAAATGAAAAGGAAAAACCAAAAAAATAATAATACAATAAAAACAAAAGGCAAAAAACAAAAAAAAAAAAACTTTGTGTATAAATAGGAAAAGCCAAGTGAAGTCCGCTTGACGAATTTGAATTTTGCATAAACATATGTAGCTATAACTCTATATGTATTTATATATATATAGATATACACATGTATGGAACAATTTTGTGCAGTAATTAAATTCCGTGTAATAAATTGTAATGCAAAATTTGATTTCAGGCAGAAGCAGATTTCAAGCAAATACCAAAAACGAAAACAAAGTAAATATAAACAGCAGAAAACAATGATCAGAACTATTTAATTAAAGAAATACAATTAATAAAATCATTATGGAAATTAAAAACAATGGCAAACTGTGAAATTCTTTGGGAAAAAGGCTAAAACTAGCGGGAAAAGCGCTAAAACTGTATTTAGTTGTTAGTCGGAAATTTTGGGCACAGGCTTCTGGCTACAAATTTCTTGACTTGCGAAAATAAAGCTAAATTATGTTGGGAAAAAGCTAAGTTCAGCGGGAAAAAATGCTAGTATTGTATTTAGTTGTTGGCCGAAACTTCTTGGAGCAAGACTTTTGCTTGAGATTTCTTGACTTGCCAAAATAAACGTAAATCTAGTGAGAAAAAAAGTAATTTCAGCGGGATATAATGCTAGTGGGAAATATTATTGCGCAATTTGCAGCACTTTTCGGCACCGCCTTTTGGCTTTAAATTCGTGAACTTGCAAAAATAAAGCTAAATCTGGTGGCAAAAAGCCAAGTCCAGCGGGAACTGAAGCTGAATCCAGAGAGTAATACCGCTGAACCTATATTTAGTTGTTGTTCGACATTTGTCGGCAACATTTTTTGCCCTTTAATTCGTGAACTTGCAAAAGAAAAGCTAAATCCAAGCAAATTGTGAACTTCATTGGCTACATCTAGCGGGAAATAACGTTAAACCAGTATTTAGTGGGTTTTAGTTTATAGTGTACACACATTCGGCATATCTTTTTGGCCTTAAATTCCTGGATTGGCTTTCATCCTTAAAGCTCTCAGATCAGCTGAGCGGCGACCCATTCGGTTCAGTTCAGTTCAGGGTCGGAAGCCGGGCAATACAAATTGCTTGCCACTTTTTACGACACAATCGGGACAATTGGCAAAGGTGGAAGTGTATCGGAGACGAGGTGAGTGGCATCTAGCTGCGGTTTAGATTGGCGGGCTACGTAATTTTCCGCTCAATTTATTTCACATTGTGGCAACCAATTAAGCTGCAAACCAGCAGCCAGCAGCCAGCAGCCAGGCGAAGAGCAGCGCACCAGCGGACCAGCAGACCAGACAACGGCTTATGGCCAACAAAGCGAAATCGTTTGTGCCCAGCTCACTCGCCCCCTCTGCTGCCATGGGCCAGAAGTCAAAGGCGCCGTGAGTGCGGCTGAGTGGAATCGGAGTCGAAACGTTCGAATACCTTCCAGCTGTAACCGCAATAGTAGCTTATTTAGCTCTCGCAGCCGACTGAGCGTTTCGGGTGCGTATTTTGTCTGGCCACGCCCAGATTCGCAATGGATGCTCGGTGTGTGTGTGGGGCCAAGTTTTAATCATTTTGTTTGCGTCTACTTAGAAGAATTCGAAAGATGGCTTGCATAGCAAATTAGCAGTCAGCCGGCGCCCTGAAGTATGCAGCACAATTTTCGACTACCCCGAATGCCATTACCAAGTGAACGTGTGTGTGTGTGTGTGTGTGAATGTGTGGCGGCACTGAATAATTAAAAATGTTACCCATTACTTGCGTCGCTTGATAAAATTTCAAACAAACATAGTAAGGCACACACACACACACATACACTCATATGTCTTTGGCAGCTACTCAAGAGTAGCTTAGCTGCATGGAGACTGCTAAAGCACTTGAGATGCTGTCTGCAAATCCCATTCAAAATAAGAGTGTTACTTCTCATTACTTCTCTCTCTCTCTCCCTCTCTCTCTCTAACACTCTCTGCGTGCCTCGCATATTAACACTTTTCATATGAGCTACAGAAAAGTAAGTCCCTTGGCAACCGCATTGACTGATTGACAAACTGGCTGAGTGAGAGCTGAAAGAAGCGCAGCGAAATAAAGGATACTTCGAGTCACCTACGATACTCATCAATGTACGTACATATATAGCTGCACATACATTTATCTGGACTTGGAACAAAGCAAGTTCCTATAATGCCTAGAGTGAAACATTGGCCACGTTTCTTGAATTATTGCCACATTTGCTAGATCCACAGTGCTTCCGCTTCTCTGTCCCGAACTACACGGTATTTGGCAGCACATACGCCTATTTCGAGCTACTCATTTGCCGTTGCTTCAATTAAGGCGATAAAGCTGAGCCAGCGCCTCAGCTTCAGCCTCAGCTTCAGCTGCAGCTCCTGCTCTGGCAACCGGAACAAAAAGAAAGATTAAATTAAATTAAAAAATATCAAATGAGGAGCTTGTTCGAGCGGGTATGCAAATTAGCGAACAGCTTAAGAAATTACTCAAAAAATATATACAATTTATGTATACACACACACACATATGCGTGTGCATATGTATTGGTCATGTCTATGGGTGCTTGGCTTTTATGCGTAACGACAATCATCTCTCTGAGTCGCTTCATTTGCCAAAACTTTGTGTCTCAATTATGCAAGTGATGAGCATGTGTATGTGTGTGTGTGCGTGTGTGTGTGCATATACAAATTTTATGATGATACCAATTAAAGCCACTCACATGACAGCAACCGTGCAACTGCTGTGCGTCTGTCTTGGCGCACGCTTAATTAGCAACACCTACAACAAATTCCAGCCCGTACCCAGCCCATACCCAGCCCATTCCCGGCCCCGCCCCTTTGGCGTCGCCTTGAGAAGCGGCATAACAAACTTTTTAATTATGTGATAATATATTTAACTTGTTTATGCAGCCCCACTGCTTGTTACCACGCCCCACTCCCCATCTGCCTTACGCCTTTGCTGCTTGCGTTATTGACGCCGTCAAACTCCACTGACAGGGCATTAAAGAGCTTGTCTTTGCGCTCTGTGACACGCCGAATATGAAATTGCCCTCGTTTCATGATTATTATCAACTGAGAGATATGTGTGCAGAGTTAAAGGAGTATACACACACAAAGATAGGCCAATCACAGCAAGTAGAGGCAGTCAGTGGAGGCATAGAATGATTTTATATTATTATTAAAGTTTTTCATTTTTTTAAATTATTAAAATTGTGTAATTCAAAATGAAGATAAATCATAAATCAAACATTTTATTTAGTGAATTTAATTTTTTATTTAATTATTTAATATGCAGATAAATTACTATATAAAAAAATTAGTAATATTTAAATAATATATTATTCAATAAAAAAATATATAATAATTAAAAAATAAAACATGATAATAATAATAAGAATTATAATTTGTATACAATTAATGTGTTCACATTTAAGGCATTTCAGAGTTCTATTCTATTCCTTAACTAGTTCCTTAGCTTA